CTGCCCGCGTTGCCCTAATGCTCCAGTCCAGCCTCTGAGGCTTGGGGCATGGGTGAGTGGCAGGGGCTCTCCACCCTTTGCCATGCCTCCCATGAACACCCCGGTGGGGGCTTCTGTCCAAGTGCACCCGCTGTGGTTAGCCGTCCTGTTGGGCAAAGATGGGATCCGTGCCCTGGGAGATCACAGAGCTCCTGCAGGCAGAAGCCAGGGATCAGTCAGTATCTCATTGTTTGCACCAGGGTGCCCCCTCTCCCCTTCCTAGTAAGCCCATGGTCCCGGCCACACTCTCTTGTGATGGAGGCAGGCCCATACCCATGCCGGCAATTGAGTAGGGGCCAGCCCTGGAGTAGAACCGCAGCGGAGAACAGGCCAGTCTCAGTGCACAGTCACGCCAAGGCCGGTAGCTCTGCGGTGTCTGACTTGGATGCTTTCTCCCCTGCCTGTTCCCTGCAATAGGGACCCTGCCCTGGGCACACCCCAGGCAGCCAGAAGGCAGCTGCAGGCCTCAGCAGTAATTTACTTCCACGAGCTAATGGCCATAAAAGGCCCTAATGGAGGGGCTGAGCCTGAATGTTTGATGAGGCTGGGCTGCTGCTCCCAGGCCAGCCCTGTTAAAGGGACAGGCCTCTTCTGCCAGGAACAGCTGGGAGCTGCCCTGAGTGTGTGTGTGTGTGTGGGTGGGGGAATCATGGACATTAGGGCAGGAAAATCCCTGCCAAGCCCCATCCAGCCCCACCCTCATGGGGACTGGAGCAGGATGGCCTCGTCCAGCTAGGTTTTAAATCTCCCAGGCCGTGGGGCTCCCCGAGCTCCCCTTGGGCCACTACTCTGCAGCCTCCGCTCCTGGCACCGGGAGTGGCATCCTGATCGCCCAGCTGAGTTTCCCCACCCTGGTCTTGCCACAGGGCTGACGCCCTTTCCAGGCCCGGTGGGTGGTTTCCTTGCTCCCACTTGCAGAGAAAGCAGGAAGGAGGGAGAGGAAAAGCAAAAGGGAAGAGGGAAAGACGCTGGCACAATTAGCCCTGAAACGGCTCAGCCACAGAGTGCTCCTGCGCCCGCGCGGAGGGCCAGGGAGATTAACTGTGCCACTCCCTCATCCCCAACTACACTTGCTTAAATACACGGGCAATCTGTACTCCCTCCCCCAGGGGCAAAGCTGCCTCTTTATACTGGAAATGGCTCCCTGACGTCTCTCTGGGCTCTACAGCGGGGTCCAGCCCAGGGGCTGCCAGGGGCGAGGGCAACTGGCGTGGGGGCACACGGCAGCCGGAATCGCTGCCGCAGCTCAGGTCACCCTGGCTGCCCGGCGGCTCCTTTATCCAGGCCCAAAGAACCTCTCCAGCAGACAAAGGCATTTTACGAGCGCCCTGGCCCCAGCTGGTGACATTTACTACCTCCACATTCCCATGGGATTCAAAGGGCACAGATGCATCATGGGACTGCCTTGCCCAGCCCCCTCGCCCCTGCGGAGTGTCGGGCAAGGGAAGCAGTAGGGCAGAGAGCGCAGGCCTTCCTCATGGGCTGCCCACCGGGTACCAGCCTAAGTCCCACCCCACAGCCCTCACCCTCGAACCTGCCTCCTTTCTCTGCCTCGTCCTTACTGCTCTTTACCCCATCTCTTCGCAGGCCCTCACCCCAACTGCCCCCCCCTTTGGGGGGATCCCCCCGAATCCCTTCCCAGACGGTTCGCATGACACAGTGAGCACTGGGCAGAGCTGGGCAAAGCCGGTGGAAACCCATCTGGGAAGGAAGGAGATGGGGATCTGCAGGATGTGGGTGCTGCCCCCACAGTGGCAGGGGAGGGGCCTGAGGCAGTTAGCATTCCGGAACGGTGGGAGATGCCCATCTGCTCTTTGAAGCGGGTGCCCCTTTGAGGAACGATGCCAAGAGGAACTGTTACGGCCCCGTCAGGCCAGCCTCACCTTTGCCTTGGGCTCCGTGAAGTGCCTTACGCTGCAGTTAGCGTCTGATATACAAAATGACCTATATCCAATGGATGCTCGAGAGCTCTCAGCATACACATGTTCTCTTCGGCCTCTCAGACGTCCCAGGGGTCCCTTGAGACCCCATGCAAACAGCTGAGTCCCTCTGAATGGGCCACTGCCTCTGAAGGAAACAGAAAACGCCCTCTGTGCACATGCTGCCGGAGACCATGAGTCACAGCTATAGAGAGCAATGGATCCGTGTATCTGGGGAATTTCTAACAGCAGATACACACCGCTTGGGTTTCCTAGACATGCAAAAGTCCAGAGACCCCCTGGCTCTGCCTCTGATGGTGACTCAGTAGGAGGCGCTCTCTGAGTCAGTCCTTTACCCTGGGCCCCATTCGTGGGTGCAGAGCTGTTGGATGTGCCATATTTCAGCCAAGATGTGAGCCCAAACTCCAGGCCATTTTTGGCCACAAAGGATCCTCAAATAATAGTCAGGGCATTTACCCTGGTGGCTGGGTTAAATTCCAACTCAGGTAATTACATGCTGCTTCCCTAATTCCCCCTACAGTGCTGATTAGATATAGTCTTCTTTCCCCATTCCAAACGGCTGCTGTGTTGCTGTTAAGCAACTGCCATGTTTCACCCCAGAGGTGGCTGCATTTCAATGGTGGGTGGAGTGACACCTGTACATAGGACTTTTTAAATCATTTTTGCCACTGCAAGTCACCACGTAATTGTCAGCTATTGTTATTTTTTGGTTTGCTGTGGGCAGTGGAGGTCTGGCCGGGCTCCAGCGACTGCAGTGGATCCCATCTGGCGTCGCATCTTGTCTGGTGGGCAGTGCCGGGTGAGCAGGCTGCCTTTAAAATCCAGGCTTTCTATTGCCAAATACCTGCTTGTTCAGCTGTCTGTATGTAGAGCAACAGTGCTATCTAGTGGTTAGTTTTACTTAATAAATAAGAAAGAACACTAACCTTTAACTTCTTCCAAGCCCTTTGAAAACACTAATGAGCTGAGCCTGACAACCTACCTGGGAGGAGATGAGAGTGTCTGATTATCCCCATTTTTCAGAGGGGAAACTGAGGCAGAGAGAGGAGCCATGCAGAGTTGGGATTAGAAGTCAGGCGCTCCAGGCTGTCAGCCTTGTGTTCATTCTTCTAGTCTTACTCAGAGATTCAGCAACATCTTGGAGTTCAAACCACTGGAAAAGAAACCTTGGGCTTTCCAGATAGATAGATAATGAATTGATTGCTAGTGCCTGTAGTGATTTTGGGTTGAGGACTGATGCTAATTAGTATGAGAAGCACAACACTTACTTTTCCTTTGTCACATAGGGCCTTGTCTACACTGACGAAAAGGCATCCTGTTAGCAAACGGGTTAAGTAACACCTTTTAATTAGCATGATGTTAAACACAACTTGACTCTTAGTGGACTCATCTTTAATAGGAAGAAAGGTGTGTGGTTTTAGCTGATGTATTAAAATCCTAGTGTAGATGGGGCAATTTGGATTATAATACAGCTCTAGCAAGGAGCATAGGGTTTACTGTGATCAGCTAACAAGTGTTAAAACTACATCTTGCCTTGCTGATGCTAGAATTTTAATGTGTGTTAAAAACACAATTTTTGCCTTGTGTAAACATGGCCCATGTGGGCAAAGACGGTTGTGTTTAAAAATACATTAGCTGGTCATTGATACTGTCCTTGTCCAAATGAAGGGCTTAACATCATGTTAGTTAGCACATTTTTCAACATGATGCATTCTCCTCAGTCCTGAGCCAGGATTTGAACCTGCTGCTCTAGAGGTTACAGGTTCACCTGCGCCTGGATGCTACGAGTGGAATTGTTAGCATATGTAGTCCTTTGCCTGCACTGGACGTGCTGGGTTGGAGAGGTCAGTAGTGAAGAGGTTAATCACTAAAGCTTCATCTTGATTATTTTCTAAGGCTTAACTTCCAGGCCTCTGCCTCCCCTTATGCGTATCCTTTCCCTTGGGAAGCTGCTGGCCTCCTCCCTGTTGGGGAGCTGGGCCTGTTGGTCATTCACTTCTGCCCAGCCCCTGTTGTTATTGCAGTCAGGTCTGACTGCCCCTCCCCAGAAATGACACAGAGTGGACTAGGGCTCAGGCCATTGCCTTTAAAAGGTTAAAGGAGGAGGAGCTTTTACCAAACTCCTCCCCCCAAAGTCTCCAGCAGGATGCCAAGGGACAGTGTGCCCAGCCAATGACATGGCTAGCTTGAAGCATTACATCATCACGAGACACTCTCACTGGCTGATCGTAGGCTGAGGGCAGGGCACTGATCTTAGCAGCTGCTAAACTATGTTTAATATGTTTCATATTAACCCTTTCCTGGGGAGCCCTGCCGCAGAGAACTCCCCATGGAGCCCCTGATGTAGTTTATACAATCGTTTTCCTGGCTGTTAGAGCACTGTGGGAGGTGATGGGAAGGTACAGGTGGAAATTCAGCTACAGCCCACGGGCCCGTCTCCTCAGACGTGTACAAAACGGGGAGCTGGCCTGTCACCCATGACATGCCATGGCCTCCTTTGTTACTTCATCTCACTGCTGGGCTGCGTGTGGGGCTGTGCAAAGCCCCAGCGGCTGGTAGAGCCTCCTTCTGTGAGTGTGCAGATGGCATTATTATTGTGCGAACAAAGGCAGGAGGGGTTCCCATCCGCCTGTTCTGGCAGCGCGAAGCCAGCTTCTGGCAGCTGGATAGCAGGGTAACTAGAGGGCAAGCTGTTCCACCAGAACCCCGTCAGCGTCCGGCTACAGGCGGTTCCACTGGAAGTGGGTCAGCATCCAGCTCCAGATGGTTCTTCCACAACCTGTTCGAGTGGAGCCAGGTTGGATCCAGCTAGGGACTGTCCCTCCAGAACCTGTTCCAATAGAATCGCGTCCGCATGTAGCAATGGCCTCATGGTTAGGAGATCATCATGAACTTGGCATCTTTCAGAGGGTAATGGCTGCCAGTTAGATCAGAAGCCACTCCACTGGAGGGCAAGGGGGTATGGTGCAGCCTGGCTGAAGGAGGCGCATGGTATTTGACGACATGCTCTCACACAGTAAGGTCCATCAATGGCTGTTAGCCAGGGTGGGCAGGGATGGTGTCCCTAGCCTCTGTTTGCCAGAAGCTGGAAATGGGCAACAGGGGATGGATCACTTGATGATGACCTGTTCTGTTCATTCCCTCTGGGGCACCCGGCATTGGCTGCTGTTGGAAAACAGGATACTGGGCTAGATGGACCTTTGGTCTGGCCCAGTGTGGCCTTTCGTAGGTAAGACAGTGTGACCCCTGGGGGGTCCTGTGTCCCATCTTGGTCTGAGAGGTGGCATGCTGGGATCCATCGTCTCTCTGGACTGCACCTCTACAGAGAAATAAGGGCAGCTGCAATCTGCCCTGTTTTGTACAAATCAGGGCGCTGCCACCCGTCTGTCCTCTGGCAAGCTGCTCATATAGCCCCTTGTCTGGGCAAATTTTGGGCAGGCCTGCTTTAGATGCTGGCAGCCATCCTGGCTCTATCACAGATGGATTTTGCCCACCCCCCGAGCTGAAGTCTGCGCCTGCTGGATTGTATGCAATACCTAGCGTGGCTATTTATATTTTTAGCTTCCTATTATAAGGGCTGACATGGGCCAGAGGGAGTGTGCTCTCATGGTTAGAGCAGGGGACTGGGAGTCAGGACCCCTGGCTTCTATCCTTGGCTCTGGCATCAACTCACTGGGTGAGTCCCTGCCCTGCTCTGTGCCCCAATGTACCCATCCATGTAATGGAGATATTGATGCACACTCCCCTCCCAGGGGAGTTGTGAAACAATCCAAGAATATATATAGCACTCTGAGCTTCTCCGATATCAGACACTACGGAGGGGTAACAAATTACTGTTATCTGAGCACTCCCCTGAGACCTGCTCTGGGGGGAGGAAGGAGCAGGTCCTGAACCCTGTTAAAGAGAAGCACAAATGAAGACAGCTCTTCAGTGCTCACTCACTTTCAGTCCATCCTGCCTGAGCTCCTATAACACGCCAAGGTAAAGCTCCCAGTTTCCAGAGGAAACCAGGGTAGGGCCTGGAACCATCCTGTGCTGGTGTATTGGCTACACTGGCGGCACTGAATTCCTGGATCTCCCATGGGGCGGGGTATATGTACATGGGGTCCTGTTACTCTACGTGAGAAAGTGCAAATTATCTGTAATAGTTGTATGAAGCCTAGGTGTGCCTCAGTTTCCCCATGTCTGTTGCATTGCTCCCCAGTGGGTGCAGAAGGGTTAACACCGCATCTGGAACAGTGCAGGAGACAGGAAGTGTGCCTGTGTCACCTAGCTCCGGGTAGAATGAATAGAGTCATTCAAGAATTGGCTGAAACTGACCCAAATCAGCAGAGAGTCAACCAAGACAAAGAGAGCCCCAGGGACTGACCAACCAACACCCAACAGAGGAAGCTCCAGCAGGTGGGACACTTGAACTGAGCTGGAGAATAAAGGGAAAAGTGGGCAGGTGACCAGGAGAAGGGCTGGCTTTGGAGGGCGTCGGCTGCTCTCACCTGGGCGCCAGCGGACGAAAGACAGAGAGCTCCAGCCCAGGAATGAAGCCCACAGTAGCTTGTCTGGCTCGTCACAGCACCGGCTGGGCTATGGCTTAACTTCGGCCTCGCTTTGCTGACTTAAGGCCTCGCAGAGACTGGAGTGAGGTGACTCGGGAATGGTGGCCCTGCTTGGAAAAGGCCCCGGCTGTGTTGGGTCCCTGGGAGCACTGAGCCCCTAACGAGCTACAGGACAAGCCTCCCGCAGGAGTCTAGACTCGCTGCAGGGAGCCAGAGAGAGAGAGACAGGGATGGCTGGTGCCGATGGCCCGGTCTCAGTGTCGTGGAGGCCTGCCCCTGTGGAGCTGTGTGGATCCTGGGGACCTGGCTCGTTAAAGGGCTCACTCCCGGGAGACAGGTTCCAGGCTGGGCATAAACCAGCCCCCGTGATGCTGTGACACCCCCAGGATCCCAAGGGGCAGGACTGGAGGATCTCCCTCTCCCCGGTGTGCGTGGGAAGGAAGGGGGGGGTCTGGCCCGATCCCCTGCAAGGATTTGATCCTCGATGGGCACAGCCGCATCCATGCTGGGTGGAGAAGGCTGGGCATATCCCCTTCCGTACCGCCTGCTAGGGTGACCAGATGTCCTGATTTTATAGGGACAGTCCCGATTTTTGGGTCTTTTTCTTATATAGGCTCCTATTACCCCCCACCCCCTGTCCCGATTTTTCACATTTGCTGTCTGGTCACCCTACCGCCTGCCCACCAGCCCAGAGCAGCTCTGACTGGGGGGGGTGCACCCCTCGCCCCGTCTCACTCCTCGTCCCCCCGCCAG